GAAGTACGAGCAAGGAGACTGAACAACTGAACAGGAAGACAACTGAATAGGAAGCCCGAGCTGAATAGGAAGGCTGAATAACTGAACAGGAAGGCTGAACAACTGAATAGGAAGGCTGAACAACTGAACAGAAGCTGAAGAACAGAAGCTGAACAACTGAACAGAAGCCCAGCTGAATAGAAGGCTGAATAACTGAACAGAAGGCTGAACAACTGAACGAATGAACAATGAAGGCTGAGAACAGGAAGCCCGAGCTGAATAGGAAGGCTGAATAACTGAACACTGAACAGAACAGGAAGGCTGAACACTGAATAGGAAGGCCTGAACAACTGAACAGTGAACAACCCTGAACAACTGAACAGGACCCGAGCTGAATAGGACTGAATAACTGAACAGAAGGCTGAACAACTGAATGGAAGGCTGAACAACTGAACAGAAAGAACAGAACAGGAGCTGAACAACTGAACAGGAAGCTGAACTGAATAGGAAGGCTGAACAACTGAACAAGAAGCCCGAACTGAATAGGAGTGCTGAACAACTGAACAGGAAGCAACTGATAGAAGATGAACAACTGAACAAGAGCCCGAACTGAATAGGAGTGCTGAACAACTGAACAGGAACAACTGATTGAGATGCGGGAAGACATGAACGGAATGCTGAACACTGACAGGAAGGCTGAAACAACTGAACAGGAAGCTGAACGCTGATGAACTAAAGGAAGATTGAGCATCTGAACAGGAAGGCTGAACAACTGAACAGGAAGGCTGAACAACTGAACAGGAAGGCTGAACAACTGAACAGGAAGGCTGAACAACTGAATGGGAAGACTGAACTAAACAGGGAGGCTGAACAATTGATCGGGAATGATGAACAACTGAACAGGAAGCCGAACTGAATAGGATGGCTGGACAACTGAACAGGAAGCTGAACAACTGAATAGGAAGCCTGAACAACTGAACAGGAAGGCTGAACAACTGAATAGGAAGCCTGAACAACTGAACAGGAAGGCTGAACAACTGAATAGGAAGCCTGAACAACTGAACAGGAAGGCCGAACTGAATAGGAAGGCTGGACAACTGAAAGGAAGGCTGAACAATTAATAGGAAGCTGAACAACTGAACATGAAGGCCGAACTGAATAGGAAGGCTGGACAACTGAACAGGAAGGCTGAACAACTGAATAGGAAGGCTGAACAACTGAACAGGAAGAACAACTGAATAGGACAACAACTGAACAGGAAATCCGAACAAAATAGGAAGCTGAACAACTGAACAGATAGTCTGAACAACGCGATGAGTCAGGGTAGCTGGTGTGTCAGGGAAACGGCCACAAGGGAAGGGGGCTGGGGTGGGTAGGCGAGGGGGGGGGGTGGTGTCATTGTCCCAAAGATGTCGATCTCATCAACTTGAAATTTGTGCGAGAGAAGAATTTCTTAAAGGTTATGTGTGCATTTGTGTATGGGTTCGAGAGTCGGTGTGTACGTCCCGTGGGTGTGTACTTCGCGTGTGTGTGTGTGTGTGGGTGTACATCAAGCGTGGTATGGGCGCGGAATGATTTATTGTTTAGAATCTGCGATTTTCCTTTTTAATCCGTGCATTCGTTTCACCCAAGCCCCAATTACTGGAAGGTAACCTACTTATAACCTTCATCCTATTAAAAAAAAAAAAAAAAAAAAAAAAAAAAAATCTCCTAAAGCTTACTTCCAATATCACGGTTGGTGATTTTGGTCCGTACTGACACTCCACCTTTGTTGGGGCGTCCAATCAGGCGGGAGGCGGAGCTGCCGTTGCATTGTCTTGGGACGAGGTAGATCTTTGGCGATTTTAGTGGCTTTGCAAGAAGAACTTTGAGTTGAAAGAGACATTTTCCGATCTCCTAGTTAACAGGGTGTTGGGTGCATTGTGTGTGTGTTTGGGTGAGTGTATTAATGTGTGTGTGTGTTTGGGTGAGTGTATTCATGTGTGTGTGATTTGGGTGAGTGTATTCATGTGTGTTTTACGTGAGTATTAATGTGTGTGAGTGTGTGTGTTTGGGTGAGGGTTTTAATGTGTTGTGTATGTTTAGTGAGTGTTTAACGTGTGTGTGTGTTTGTGTCTGTGAGTGTTTGGGTGACTGTTTTAATGTGTGTGTGTGTGTGTTTAGTGATGTTTTTATGTGTGTGTGTGTGTGTGTGTGCACCTGTCTATCCATGTACAAAGAATGCGATCCTCCAAGCAAGTCCTCTTAGTACAGTTATTCGCTGTCGAATTCCGTCCTCAAAGAAAGAGAACCGAGTACCACAAGTATATATAATGAATAGGAATTACACTTCACATTTACAGCTCACAACTCTCAAAATCTATTCCCGAAAATACTTCATAATCTCTTAAAACGCTTTACGAATTATCTGTTTGAAAATGTGATATTCAATCTCGTGATGTAAACTTTCCTTTCATTGCTGCATCGTCGGATCGTTCACACAGTTCTATATGACCTTTGATGTAGACTACATGTATTTGTTTAAAACATTTTAAACATGTTGGTCAACACAGCTGTCTGAAACCGCTAAGGCAGAAACTAGGATATTTGTTCGAATTTCTTACTCTGGAGGCCACTGGCTGCTCTGACACGGGTCTTAGATAAAGAGCTTTTATCATATACACTTGTGGTCGTAGTCTAGCATTGTGTCTCTGTATATTTCTATTATTTCGAGGTGATGATTACAAGAATAAAATTGCCTCCATCCCAAGGCTGATATCTGTAACATAGCTGACATAATTGGCTATCGTCGAGGTGAAGTAGTTGGTTCTTATGACTCATATCAGATGTTTCTCAGAAAACTTGGATAACAACCCACCCTTTTCATCAACAAAGGATCTCATATGACTTCACTTTCTTCTGAGTCCGCTTAACCATTACCGACCCCGCGGGAACTAGCGTGATAGACGTCTTCCTGTGCGAACCATATTCATGTTGACACATGTAGAAAAGGTGTGAATGAGAATGGAGATCTTCACAACCCAAGAGATGTAATTGACCGGTTCCAATTATATCTTCATCAGAAATGCATGTGTTTCTGATGAAGATATAATCGAAACCGGACAGTTACATCACCTTGTATTGATTGGGACGATATATATTCTCGTCTTCCTGTACCGTAAAAGGAAACCTCATCTGAACATGCTATTGCCCTGAGGCCTTGCCCGTCTGAGTCAGCGTGTCACTGGGTACTCTCTTCTCTGACGGTGTTCAGAGAGTTCACTTTCTTTAACATTCACGATGAAAGCCTCGAGTTATGTATGTCAATGCTGGAAAATTAACTTGTCAATTCCAGGTTGTACAACTGTAGCTGCTTCTGAAAGGGTTTAAAGTAGCAGAATGAACTGAATGGATTTTAATTTGGTCGAGTGTTTTTTCTGTGTAAATTTAGCTTCGTTTCACCTATTGATATGTTATTGATATTAGAAATTGGTCTTATGTGGAGACAAGAAAGCCACACGCACTTTAGTATGTAGACAGTAACAGAGTGTGAGTGTGTGTGTGTGTCTGTGTCTGTGTGTGTGTATGTGTGTGTGTGTGTGTGTGTGGTCGCAGCGAGAGAGAGGAGGGGGGGTAGTGAAAGTATTTCGAAATTCCTCTGGATGTAATTAGAAAAAAAAACAATTTCATTCAGTAAGGAACAAGCTATCCAGACTGGTATCAACAAACAAGGAGAAAAGCGTCTACGTTAGTACGAAGTTCATAAAAAAACTGACCTTAAATTGCAACACGTAAGAACAAAATGGAAGAATCTGAAGACAATCTTCAAGTCTTAACAAAAGATTTTGTCTTTAAATCTCTTTTTTTCATCGCATTAAAGAGATGCAAATTACAAGATTCATTTATCTGCGAGAGACTTCTTATCCCGGCAGCATTATATTACGTTTTTTTCTCTCTCTCTTTCAACAGACAAACGGACCATTATACAAAATCTTAAAAAAAAAAAAGATATAACGATTTCTGCGAAAGATTTGCCGAACGTAGAAACACTCTATAACCTTCACAGGTAATATAAGGTCGCTTCAACATCCTCACCGTTGTACCTTCTCCTGTGAAATTTGGCTCAGGGACATCCTTTTCTCCCCGACGTCCTCGCCCTGGGATAATTCGTTTCCTTATTGAAAGAGACAGCATGGAGGCGAACGCATGGCCGCATTGCGCAAGAAAAGTCATCTTTATTGAAATCGCATTATATGATATGGTGTTGCGATGTGATAGCTTCGTTAGAAATCCTTTGATGAAGAGAGAACATCGGAACGTCTGTGATATTTGATATTTCGTCTCTGGAGAAATCTTCGGCTTGTACTTTTTTCCTGCTTTTGTTACGCAATTCATGATCACCTTTTTCGTGAAATCGTACAAGTTGCCACCATTTTATTATTGCTTTTATCTTTTCTTTACGTTGGTTCTTTTTCCATGAGTTGTCTTTATATTTCAGCCAGTCGTCTTTTTTGTGTATATTTTTCTTCCTTTATATATCTCATATTACCTTGACTTCTTTAACTTCTCACTTCGCTTTTCATATTGTCACCTGAATTTTCTCCATCTTTTCCTGTTTTCTTGATATTCTCTCTTCCCTCTTTTCGTTCTTCCTATTTCAAGTCTTTCCCTCCTTGTCTTGCCCCGTTTTCTGTTTGAAATGGTCGGTCGTTTTCCGGGAAACTGATTCCTTGCCTTTCGAGGATTTTCTCTCTCTCTCTTTCTCTCTCTCTCTCTCTCTCTCTCTCTCTCTCTCTCTCTCTCTCTCTCTCTCTCTCTCTCTCTCTTCTCTCTCTCTCTCTCTCTCTCTCTCTCTCTCTCTCTCTCCCTCTTTCTCAGACGTGAAGATATTCATAAAAATAATGGACTTGAGCAAATATATATCTTTTATGGGCGGAAATATCTTTTAGTGCTGAAATGTTACGATCTAATATTTCATTTTTCAAAGGTTTTCACGGAACAGGCGTTAGTTTCAGATGCGATATTAGCTTTCAACATCAATG